GTGTGTGTGTGTGTGTGTGTGCCCGCATTTGCTACTGGACCTGTGTGTGTGAAGGTGGTGTGTGTGCATGCTTGTGTGCATGTGTGTGTGTGCATTCACTACTGGACCTGGGTGTGTGAAGGTGGTGTGTGCATGCTGGGGGGGGTGTGCATTTATTACTGGACCTGGGTGTGTGAAGATGGTGTGTGTGTGTCACTGGACCTGGGTGTGTATATATACTTGGTGCATGTTTGTGTGCCATTGGATGGGGGCAAGGGTGTGAGGTGTGTGTCCCACCAGATAAGGGTGTGCAAGTGGGGTGAGCATGCTCGGTATGGTGTGCTAGAAGTGTGTGTCCCATTGGACAAGGGTGTGCAAGGGAGGTGTATACTTGTGTGTGTGCCCCAATGGATTGGGGGTGTGAGAGGAGGGTGTGTGTGCATGCTGGGGGGGTGTTCTACAAGTGTGTGCTCAAGAGAGAGGTGTGCATTCTTGGCATACATTTGTGTGTCCTACTGGATGGGGGTGTGCAAGGGTTGTATGTGTGTCAGTGAAGATGTGTGTCCCTCTGTACGTTCCTGGGTGTAGGTGTTACTGGACACACATTGTTGAGGTATGTATTCCTGTGTGCAAGGAGTGTGTGCATGTGTGTGTCCTTGGGCATGTGGTTTCCTGCATGGACTCTGCACCTTTGTGTGGTCACAGGTGTGTGTGTATGAATCTGAGTGTGCCACTGTGGTGGTTTGTTTGTCATCATACAAGTGTATGTGCTGGGTGTATTTTTAAAGACGTGTGTGTGTGTGCAGTCTGGGTGCGTGTTGCATGCGAGTGTGCATTGCATGCATGTGTTTGTGGGGACATCTGTCCCCAGGGACATGCATGTTGCTGGATGGTTGTGGCGGTTTGTCACCAGGGCAGACGTGGAGGTGTGTCTGCAAGGGTGTGCCTGTGTGTACCTATGTGGTGTATAAGTGAGTCAGAGCGATCCCCAGCTAATGGCTGTGACAATGAGTGCATCTCTCTGTCCCCAGGCTGGTCCCAGCTGGTAAGGAAGGCCCAAGCCCCTGGCCTGCAGGTAGGGGTCTGGCCCTGCCGCGAGCAGCTGTGCCTGCCTGGGCTGGGGCTGGCTGCTGGGGGCAGCTGAGAACAGTAAGCTCAGAGAGGTGCTGGCTGGCAGCTCTGCAGAGCTGGGTGTGGGGGAAAGGGGGCAGGGATACCCTGGCCTCTGTCACCAGGACCCAGAGCAGTCATTACACAGGCCAGGCCCCCTGTTCTGGTTGGAGACACTACCAACCCCTGCCATGTCCCTGGTGGCACAGCCAAGGGGAGTGTGGGGGGAGACTGGGACTGTTCCACTGGGAAGACTAGGCTGAGTCCTGTGGAGAACAGGTCCCTGGCGGATATAAATTATCCTGGGTTCACTGGAGCCCATGAGCCAGGCTTCCCAGCAGTCAGTGCTGACAGGTAGTTTTGCTGCCCATGCTATGGCTCAGTGTTGTGGCTGGAGCAAATCCGCATTGCTTCCTTGGAAGCAATTTACATCTGCTGGATTTCTGATTTCTGCTGGATTTCTTTTCCAGCAATTTTACATCTGCTGGAGATCCAGCCCCTTGTTGTCCCCATGCCACAGCACTGCCTGATTTGATGCCCTTACTGCTGTTCATTTGGGGCTGGTGTCCCCCTCTGATGAACTTCAGTGGCATGTGTACATGGGGGTCACAGGGACATGGGGGTGGGTGGCTCTCCTGCCTGCTGGGTGCACACCTGTGTGCCCTGTGTGCTTGCTGTATGTGTTGCTTGCCCCTGCATGCATGCACACATGCACAGTTGCTGCCCAGAGGAGGCTACTTACTGGCAGGCAGCACAGTGAGGTCATTGAGTGACTTCATCTGTGTCAACTGCAAGAAAAAACCACAACTGGGATGATGTATCATTGTAACCTGTAACTCCTATGCTCCGGTCCCCATGTAGCTAAGAGTGACAGAAAACCCTCAAAGGCCAGTGGGGGCAAAATGGGAGCTTAGGGAGCCCAGAATGGGGGCTGGAAGGAGCAGAGAGCTGTGGTGGGTGGAAATCAACCTGTTTTAACCACTCCCACCACTTGAACCAGCATTCTTCAGATGCTGAGGATGCACTCCTGTGAGGAAGGCCCCACAATTCTGCTATGTGCTCTTTGAGATTTCCACCTCATCTGCCTTTGGTGCAAACCCATCAAATATACCAGTGGTTCTCAACCTTTACAGACTTGAGGCACCCCTCATGAAACTCAAGGCACCTCTCAGACAATGCTGGCTGTTAGTTTTCACTTGTTTTCTGACTACAGTAAAATAATAGAGTAATTCTTCTGTTGCAAAGAGCTCAGAAAGATCACAGCGGGGCAGAATGTTTTTGATACTAGAGCGTCCTATCTGAAATCTTTGGGTTTATCTTGTGAATCATTTTTGCACACACCTAGCAATGCTAACGCTGCGTGGCACCTCATGGCACCTTTGAAAGGTACTCCATGGCAACCTGGTTGAGAATCACTGACATGCTTTCTTGGACCCTCTGATCAGCAGCAAACAGTTGACTATTAAGCAACTCAGGTGGCACCCAGTGAAGTGCCTGGGAAGTTCGGCAAGGTGGAGAGCTGCTGTCTCCTGCCTGATGCTGGGAGTACCCATATACTTGGGTCACTTGTGGGGATTTTTTTTTTCTGGGTCACATTAACAGCTGGAAATACACATGTCCCTTCTCCATGAAACTGGAGGGGGCACTTGAGATGGGTCTGTCTGTCTGCCTGTTTGTCCTTTGAGGCTGTTCCTGATTAGCGATTAGATCTTCACACACCCTTCTCCTTGGGAGGTGCTGCCTTGGTTCATCCTGCCCAGGCACTCCTTGGAATAACACGGAACAATGGCCACAAAGTTACAGAGAACAGATTTAGGTTGGACATTAGAAAGAACTTCTTCATGGTTAGGGTTGCCAGGCTCTGGAATGGGCTTCCAAGGGAGGTGGTGCTCTCCCCTACCCTGGCGGGGTTCAAGAGGAGACTGGACAAGCATGTAGCTGGGGTCATCTGACCCCACTGCTCTTTCCTGCCCAGGGCAGGGGGTCAGCCTCGAAGACCTACTGAGGTCCCTTCTGACCCTAACATCTATGAATCTATGAATTTTGACAGCCTTTATAATCCTAAAGGGAGGCCAGGTCCTGGACCTGGCTTCAGCCCCCAGCTCAGAGGTGGGTGGTGATGACAGTGTGTTTGCTTTGAAGTCAATGACTTTACCGTGTACCTCATGTTGGGCTGTTCTGAAGTGAATTCCTGCCTGCCTAGGAAAACCTTAACTTCCAGTTCCAAACTGGGGGCTCCTTAAATAACATGTCAATGCCAGCTTGGTCCCCAGATTCAGCTGTTCTCTGAAGAACAGCCCAAAAGCTGCTCTGGGTCGCTGACTGTCTGGTTGGTTGTTGGTGTCGTGTGGCACCTACAGGTCCTCTCCCATCTCGGGGCCCCATTGTACTGGCTGTGACACAGACCCAGAGGAACTGAGATCCGGCCTCCTGGTTCTGGGTGCGGTGCGGGTGCAAGAGCGAGAGACAGATCCCCCCCACCCTGAAGAAGCTACTCAGACAACTGCACCAAAGGTAGGGACATTATCCCCAGGCGGCAGGTGGGGGACTGAGGCTGGGTGGAGTGCCCATGGCCATGTGGGAACTCAGTGGCAGAGTGGGAATGGAGGCCATGTGTCCTGCCTCAGCACTGGAGCCTAAAGCCATCCCTCGCTTCTGTCATTTCTTCCCCGCTCCCTTCGATCCCAGATCAGGCAGTCACTAAAGGCTGACTTCTGCTGACACCCCCACAGCCTCGGCTGGGAGGGGAGGGGGCTTCCATTTGCCCTTGTCGAAGTGTGACGTGAACACCCCCTCAGGGGGCCATAGAAGCTGTAGGCTTGCTCTGCATGGTGAGGGAAGGGAGTGATGTGAGGCTGGAGCTCTTTTGCAACATGTTCAAGGGGCAGTTGATTAGGAAGGCCAAGTGGTTGCTGATTTGGCTTTACCCCCATGAGGGGTTGGGCCCATGGGCTATGGTGAACAAGTCTTAGCTGGGGACCACCCCCTTCCAGATGCAGGGTCCTCCTAGGACCCAGGCAGGGAACAGGGCCCCTTGCTCTAGACCCCATACACAGCCCACAGATGAGCTGAGGTCTGACCTATCCTGCAGCCCTGGGTACTCTGGGCCATATCGTGTTGCCCTCCCTCATTCCTCTCAACCAGGCTGGCAAAGGTTCCCTTTTTTGAGGGTGCTTTCCTGTTCAGACTCCCCTAGCTCTCCATGATTGGCATCTCCATGGCAGTATACCATTCCTCTCTCCACACCTTGCCAATCCCTGGAGTGCCAGCCACAGCATTGATGATCACAGTAGTTACCCCAAAGCAGCTTGGTGCCTACGGGGAGCGGATAGCCATCTTGCAAGCAAGCTGAGGTCCTTCAGGATTCTCATTCTGTCCTCACTCCCTGCCCAAGAAGCGTGGCACTGGGGTCTTGCCTTGAGGCAACCAAGCTGGGCTTGGGTCCCAGGCCACCCTGCCAGGCCCCTGCCCAGTGTATGTGTGTGGAGGGTATGGGTATCAAGTACAGGGTGGGGTTGAAACCAGTCACTGGGGTTCTGCTGGTGGCAAGGGCTTTGGAGGTGGGGCATAACAGGGCATGGAGCATGGTGGGGACAGTGAGAAAGGCAGGGATGTGGAGGGCAGGGTCACCACAGGCAACAGGCCAAAAATCCCATTGCTGTGAGCTCAGGGCCGGTCTGGGGAGCCCAGAACCCATCTGTCTGCATCCTTCCCACTTCCTGTTCTGGTTGGGTCCATGGGGAAGTGTGGCAATGTGCCTTGCCCCACATGCCGTCCACCCTCCAGCCTCGTCTAGCCTTTTTCTTTGGACAGAAAGGAGCCAAACAGTCGGATACAGGGAGGGAAGGGAGGGGAGAGGAGGGGCAGGGAGGACAGGGAAGAGGTGTCCATTAACAAGATTTTTTTTTCCCCACACCACGCCCCACCAGAGCTGAGCTGTATGTCCCTGCTAATCCCATCACTGGGGACAGGGTCACTTCAGTCCTGCACATGGAACACCTTGTGACCAGCTCCCTTCATCAGTGCCACATGGATGCCCAGCCTGTGCCCTCCCCCACCTTACTATTCAGATGCAGTGTACAGATGACAAGGGTCTCTCCCCTGGCACTGTGATGTGGAGCCCCGCTGCTGTACATATAGAGAGGATTCTTCCTCCAAAGCCAAAATGCAGCTGACTCTGGGGTGTGGCAGTGGGCTGTTCCACAGCTCTACAGAGGCAGGAAGGAGAGGATGAAAAGGAGCTGGGGCTTAGGGGCCTTTGAGGATCCTGTGTGGAAATGGACTGGGACAGATCCTAGCTGATCCCCACTGCTGATACAGAAGAAGTTGAGAGGGAGCAGGTGCTACTCCTGCCTTGCTGGAGGGCGGGGAGGGCTTGGGGACAAAGGCCCGATACTCCTGAGTTCCATTTCCAGCTTTGGGAGGGAAGTGGGGGGTGGGAGCCATGACTCTTGAGTCCTGTTCTCAACCGTGAGGAAGGGAGTGGGATGTGGTGGATTGAAACAGTAGGTTGGCCTCTTACCTGGCAGGGGAAACACCGTGACCACTAAGGTGGTTTTCCTAGTCACCCCCAGGGATGGCCGTTTTTCTGGCATGGGGTAGTACCCATGGATGTAATGTACAGTTAACCTTCCACTTGCTGCTTGAGTGGGAAGATCTTGACCTTACGCCTACTTTTTGAAAATGGGAGTCTCCAACCTAGCTTGCCTCTGGGAGCCTTATGGCTGAAGGGAAGCAAAACTCGGGGGCAGCTGAACCTTAAGCCTCTGGAATTGGGCCTGCATGTAGGATGCCCACCAATGGATTTAGAAATTTCTGAAGCCCCCGGTGGTGGGGAGGATGTTTGCCGGTAGTAGGGCCACTTAAGGTTCTTGACTGACTCACGAATTTGGAATTGATTTGACTGATTTGGATTGGAACATGAAAAATTCTCTTTAAAAAAAAAGGATTGGCATTTTGTAAGCTAAGATCAAGTATATATGCACTGGTCTGATACCCAAGCCAAAATGGATTTTAATGGCATTGAGTAGTGGAGGGTGCACACCTGTCCAAAAGCACTGTGGACAGCAGGACACCTTACAAGAGTCTTTGTAATTAGCTTTCCACTGGCCAGCTTCCAGTTGGAGGATCTCGGCTATCGGCTACACACCTACTTTATGGAAATGGGGGGCTCCTCCCTAGCTTGCTCCTGTGGCTGTTGGCTGAGGGCAAGTGAGACTCGGGGGCATGTGAACCCCAAGCCTCCAGGCTTGGGCCTGCACACAGGATGTCTGCTGATGGATTTGGAAGTATCTGAAGCCCCAGGCTGAAAAGTCTGGGGTAGAGGATACTTTCCTGTTGCAGTGCCACATATGGTGTTTGGATGATTGAGTTTTGCTCAGTCAAAAGGATTCGGAACTGATCTGCTTGATTTGACCTGGAACCCGAAACATTTTCCAATATGTGTGTGTGTGTGTGTGTGTGTGTATATATATATATATATATATATATATATATACAAGTGGGGTTGGAAGCCAGGACTCCTAGTTTGTCTGTCTGCCTGTCACTGATATTCTCTGTGGCCTTGTGTCTCTGTTCTCCATCCATTGTGGGACTGATGGTAACTGTCTTTGTTCATGGAGGGAGGGCATTGCTGAGGGCATTAGTGGCACTGCTTAGACAGCTAGCAGAGAGAAGGGCAAGTGGTTCTAGGTGCAGCCCTCCTTACTCCATGCTCCTGCCATTGATGGTATTGGGTTTAACCTTCCTCCCGCACAGGTGTACCATTGCACTGGTTCCCTCATCTCTGTTGGAGAGGAGCCTGGTCCCAGGGGGTGTGGGCCATGTCCTGGAGCTCACACCCTATAAATCCCTAGTGCAGTGCTGCTGCCAGGGGAATGATGCCTGTGCAGGAGGGTGTGAAGCTGCTGCCCCTTCAGCCTTGGACTCCTGGGTCCCCTGTACTGCAGGGCATGGGGGCTGTGCTCCCTGTGTCCCCATCTGGCTTCTCTGCACTGTGTCTCTCAAGGCAGGGAGCCCCATATCCATGGAGTAAGGAGGGCTGCTGCTAGAACTAGGGTGTATTAGGACTGTGCTGGCTGGCACTTGGGGAACTGGGATTAACCCTACCCTTGGCCTACTCCTGATCTGGAGAAGCTTGGGATGCCATGCATTGATGCCACCCAAGCACACCCAGCAGGGATAGCTAAGCCCCATGAAGGCACTCAGTGACTGAGTAGGGAGGGAGGGAGCCAAACACCACTGATGCCCCGCATGGGTGAGTGTAGAGGAAAGGACAGATCATGCTCTCCATTGAAACCTGTAACCAGAATCTCTCGCTCTTTCCTCTTGCAGCCTCTTCACTGGCAGGATGGTGAGTCTGACCCACTCTTTTTCCCTTCCTCCCCCTTCAAGAGATCCTCCCTCCCCCTACAGGGGGAAGGTGATTCCCCAGTCCCTTGGGCATCTTCTTCAGTTGGCCATGACCAGCTGGCTCTCTCCTAGCAATAGTGCCAATGGGGCACTGCCATGGGGAGCTCACAGTGGGATCCTGGCTGGCCACAGCTGTCTCAAAGCATTGGATGGGCTGTAGGGTGGGGAAGAGGGGAGTTCTGCAACACAAGGCAGAACAGTCTGTCACTCCTCCCACTGCACTCCCCCCAGCCCTGCCTTGCCTCCCCTAAAATTGCATGACTCCAGAGTGTGATCTATTTATGAGCTTGCTCCAAGCAGCTTAGTGCCCGCCCCACGTGACCCCTCTGCAGAACAGCCTCTTTGTTTAAACCTACACGTGCCCAATCCCTGACCCCTGTGCCATGAGCTGGGCCTGCTGGCACCTTCCCCCACTCCCCTCCCCCCTCCGCCCCAGTCTGGATCCTATGCAGACCCTCCCAGCCCAGCAGGACCTGTGCCCCGGGGCATCAGCAATGGAGGACTGCACTCTCAGATCCCCACACCCCAAGGCATGAACTCCCCCCTCCACACGCCCCCATCCCCCTCCAGATCAACAGATCTCTTGCTTTCTGAGTGGTCAGGGCATCCATCTTTCTCCCAACCCCTTGGATACAGCTGTCTCTGGACCAGATCAATGTGGACCAGCCCCTAATCCTGAAGGAACTGGATTGGGCTGAGCAGGGGCCTCTGCCATCCATTGGCTCTCTGCGCCCGCACTGGCGGCAGGATGTGTCCCTGGATTGCAAGATCTCACCAGAGGACAGCCATGCTCGTGCCTGCACTGCCTACTACTATGACCTGCTGCAGGGCACGCTCCAGCAGGAGGGGCTGCCTGAGACCATTGACCGCACCAAGGAGCCGCGTACAGGTGCATGCCTCCACCCCATCCTCTGGGGCTCCACAGCTCCTCCACTGTACCCCGGGTACTCAGGGCTGCCCTGCAGAGAGCTCTTTCTATGTTCCTCCTAGGGCAGGGATGGGGCAGGGTCCTTGCTAGGGAAGGATGTGTGGTGGGTATCAGGGTGTCCTCCAGTACTATTATATATGACCAGATGCCAGGCAGAGACGGGGTGGGGCTGGTTTAAGGCTAAGGGAAGGGAAAACAGGTCTGGATGCTGTGGCAGGGTAGCCAGGGCTGGGGATTGAACAGGTGGGGAGTGGGAAGGCAGGGTGGGCAAGGCTGAGGGTAGGGTGTGGCTGGGGGGGGGGGGGGTTCCTGGCTCATGCAGGGCTCATGTGTTAACCCCTTTCCTGTCTGTCCTAGGGTTCAGCTCCACGGAAGTGACCATCTGCATCCTAGGGTCCCCCACCTCGTACCTGTCTGTCCTACTGGAGGGTGGCTCCCAGTGCCCAGGTGGGTGCTGGGTCAGTGTGCTAGGGCCTTGTGCCTCGCCACCCCTGCCTGTGTGCTGGGGACAGTACTCTCCATTCTCTGGCCCTATCCTGATGAAGGGGGCATGAGGTTCAGCATCCCATACTCCCCAGTTCCCAGGACTGGCTTGGCTGTAGCCACCTCAAGACAGAGCCAGGGTGTCCTTGGTGGGGCTCTCTTTGTTGCCAAGCCCTTGGCTTGGACTCACTTAAAGCTGCTGGACTGACTCAGATGGGAACCAGATCCGAATGGTTTTACTAGATCCCCAGCTTGGTATGTGCTGCTCTCTGGACAGTGAGAGGGAAGAAGACTATTAGAAAGCACTCTCGTCACTTCTCTGCCCTGCTTTCTTCAGCAAGAGACTGAGTTAATAGGGTGGTTAGTGGGGGGTCCTTACAACAGGAGGCAGCCACTATTTCTTCTGCCCTTGCTCTGAGCAGCCAGGGGGACTATTTGCTGAGGTGGATTAACATGCAGGCCAAGGGCAGCCGGAGCATGTCCTTTGGCTCTGAGCCTCTGTTAGGCCAGCTGGAGCCAAGAGGATCCAGAGCTTATAGTGCCTGAGGGCTCCATAGGGCAGTGGGGAGGCAGAGAGAGCGGACCGTTCCCCTGTGGCAGGAGGCCACACGAGGGCTGAGAGAGCACTGGGTCTCTGTTGAAAACAGGGTTGGAGCAGAGCCAATAACATGCTTCTCCACACCAGATAGCTCCCTCTAATTGTCTGCTGACCTGGTGTCTGTACAGCCCCTCATTATACCCCACCCTCTGGACAGCAAGGGGGCAGAAGATGCCCCTCAATCCCCCTCCTCTTGCATCCAGTCAGCAAATCTTATAAACCAATTTTATTTCTCTTTTTCACCAAAACATATGTGCATGTGTATGTGTGTGGCCTGTTGGCCCTTGCACACCCCCCATCCATACATCCAATTAAAAAGGGTGCTACATTTTCCTTCCCCATTACCACATTCCCTAGACACGTAATCAGCACTCATGGCCAACAAGGAAGAAGCAGAAATGACACCCAAGGGGTCGTTTTTTTCTTTCATAAAATACAAAATAAATAAAGGAGGAAATTCCCAGGTTACAAGAAAAACAAAAGAGCTAGATCCTGTTCTGCCTATTAGCCATGTGATTTTGACTTAAGAACCTAAGTGCAATTCTATTCCACCCTGTTCAAGTCCCTGAAGATCCATTCATGCAACTACTTTTATAACACACTGTCATCTTACCCTTAAGACTATGACTCAATACAGGAGGAGGGAGACCTACCGATCTTTTTTACTAATAGTTTAGCAGGGACTGAAATGGGGTGGAATAGATATCTAAATGTGATCCTAAATCACCTTATTCACTTAATAAGTTGAATAAAATCTGGCTCACAATGTCTCTTGCTCTGAATGTACATTTAATAGATACTGTTGACTGAAACATTATTAGAACATCATAGTGTTGATTTTCCAGCATTGTAATAGGGAAGTGGAAAGCTTTAGGGAAGCTAACCCTCAAATGCTTAAGTTGAGAAATAGTGCATCTGCTCTAACCATTAACCTCTGACTTGTCCCTAGCTAAACCTGGGTGTTGGCAGACAGCTGTAAGTAGTGGAGTGAAGGCTGGATGAGGTAGCAGGGTATAATAGATCATTACCCATTGAGGGTGGCCCATCTTGAAGGGCCAAGTTAGGGCTGGCAAGGGGGTTGGGGTAAGAGGTTGGGTTGGAGTGGGGGAAGGGTTTAGGGTAAGAACATGCTTAAAGACAGATATTGGAACCTGAGAGATGCCTGTAAACTCTGAACTAACACCTGCTGCTGTGCTTTTGCAAGAGTTTTTGTTACAGATAGAGTAGATGCCACCAAGGGCCTGTAATGTAAAAAATTTAATCAAGCAAGGGGGAAGTTTAATCAGAAGTCATCTGTGCCCTATTCCGACAATGAGACTGGAAGGATCATTGTTCACAGCATTCTTCTGACTATTTCAGCTCCTCCTGCCTCTGGTGAAACTCTCCATCTACCAGAACAGGGAGATGACCCTGGCCAGGGCAACCTGGGTGACTATATGGGAATTTTCACATGTGCTCCAGGGGTGGGGAGCATTTTAATTAGAGTGGCTCTAATGAAAGTTCCTGGAGCATCTGGTATATCCACATCCCTGTGCTTCAAAATGGTGGCGGGGGTGCTTTATCTAAAGCTCATTGAACTAGCTTTAGTTAAAGTGCCCCGACACCATTCTGAAGCGCAGGGATGCTGATACACGAGACATGGAGGCTGGCTGGAGTGCAGTAATTACCACACTTCAGCAGACTTAATTAATTAAGTCTGCGCTGACATGCTGTAATTACAGCACATCAGAGCAGCCTTCAGGCTCATATGCAGGCATCCTATGAAACTGTCTTCCTGGCACTCCTTTGCACATGTCTCCAGGCAGAGTTTCACTGGATGGTGTCCACTGGCTTGGATACGTTTGAGAGGCCCTGGGTGCTGGCCAGTCTTCTTTGCTTGGTGTCCCCCCTTGGAGCTCTCATCACCCTGTGACCTTCATTCCCATCCCTGTTTTTTCATTTGCTGTCCTCAGTAATCAGGTGGTATGCATCTCACGGCCTCCTGGTAATCAAGGGAAGCTTAATAGTTTTCCTGGTAGGCCTACTCCACCATCCCATGGGCATAGCAAATAGGTCTGACTGTTTTAGTCAGGAGTTCCCATGTCTTTCTGTGCTGCAGCAGAGGCTTGCAAGGTGGCAATGGGGTTGCCCTGCTGCCAGGAACTCATCCTTAGGCATCCTGGTGAAAACCTGCCCCACATCAGCCAATTTACAAGCCTCAAACTCCTGCATGGCCTCAAGAGGGACTAAATTCAGCAGCTCCATTCCATCTGCACTTACCATGCTCCTTCCTCACAGGGCAACTGAATGTGCTTAAGCCCAGGGGTTGCCAGGACTGAGAATGATTCCCCTTGCCATTGCTGCCACAGACTGAAGTGTATGTGAGAGGGTGGGGGGAGCACAGCTGGGGAACTCAGCATGCCATTGGGAACAGGGGGGTCTGTTTGTCCTCTGCAGTCCATGACCCCGCTTCCCTCCCTGACTTGCTGGCACCCAGACCATGGGGCAGGAAGAAGGATGCAGCTGGTCTTAAAGGCCGAGTGAGGAGAAAGGAGGCAAGAACAAGAGGAGCATCACAAGAGCCAGTTGGGGAGGCAGATGACTGGGACAGGAATATGGGGCATTGATGAAGGAGGGAGGAAGTCTAAGACCCTAGTGAGGGGTAGGGATGATCAGTGCTTCTGGTAGGGGGCAGGAGTAGGGAATAGGAAGTGTGAATATGATAGGGAAAGGGGGAGCAGGAGGAGGGAGGGCTTGTGGGGCCTTGCAGAGGACACTTGGGGGTGCATTGGTGTGAGTGGGACTGGAGGAGGGAGTCTAGGAGAGGTCCTTGGGGTGGGGCACCTAGCCCTGGTAGGGCTCTCCCTGCTGGGCACTTGCCAGGCTGCTGTGGGCACTCTGATTTACAGCCCACCTCTGGGGTTGGGGGGCAGTAGGAGCCCAGGGACTCAGGCCTCAAGCATCGTATCTCCCTGTACTCTCCCTGGCCCAAGTAATGTGCCACTCTAGAGCATGCTGGAGCCCCCACACATCTCTCCCTGCCTCAGTACACCAGAGCATGAGGAAACTGTCTGGGCTTCAGGCCTCAGAGGAGCCCAGGTTCCCCCTTGCCCCCTGAAATGGTTTTTATGAACTCTCAAATCTCTCCCTTATGTAAAAAGTTTCCCTGCAGATGAGCAGCCCTCTCTGCTAGGAGAGGAGCCTCTTCCCCACCTCCCTGCCCTGGCCCCCTTCCTGCTGTTCAAGCTCTGTGGCTTTAAGCCTTGGCATTGGCACCTGTTTCCTTTGTGTCCTGTTTCAGGATTTTCCATTCTGCAGAGGGGAGGGAGGAGATCTTCATGTGGGATGGGATTGTGTCTTGAGGGGCCTCATTCCATTAGGCAAGTACAAGACTCTCTCCTGCTTCTGGCCCCCACCAGCCCTGGTTGGGGGTGTGAGGCAGCACCTGGAGAGTGGCTGGGAACTCCTGGTCTCAGCCTGGAGTGGGGGCTGCACAGACTCCCTCCCTGAAGGGCCAGAGGGTGAAAGGGTGAGGAGAGGCATTGGCTGGTGGGGGAAGATGGGGACGGGCAGAGGTGGAAAGGCATGAGTTGGTATCTGGGGACATGGGCTGGAGGAGGAGCAGGTGGATAGGGGTGTGGGAGGAGAGACTAGAGGGAAATGGGCAGGGCAGAGGGGGATGGGCTGCTAGAGGAGTGGGGCAGGGACAGTGTAGGGATGCCCAAGTCTGGCTTTGCTGATTGACATGCCAGCCTCTTTGGCTCTGCTGTAGTGTGGGTGGATGTGGGGTTGCTCCTCCATCATCCTTGCCTGGCCTCGAGCAGCTGCAGAGACTGGAGTGTGTCCCCCAGCATGACCTTGTCCCCTTCAGGTCTCAGAGCTGGCAGGCTTGAGCCAGGCCCGGGTGTGGGGGCTGTCTGTCTCTCTGCACAGCAGTTGTTCGCGCTCCTGGCACTCTCCCCGCCTGGCTCCAGGGCCTGGCTGTAGGTAACTGAAGCCCAGCAGCTCCAGTTTCCTTTGGCCCCAGGCTGAGTCCTTCCTGTGTCCAATTCCTTTGCCCTTCTAGCAGCAGGACAGAAAGCCTTGGCCTGGCCAGGAGCTCAGCTGGGAAACCCAACCAGGCGATTAATCGGATTAATCAGTGAGCGAGGGCCTGGCCTGACTCCAAGGGCTTTTATGCAAGTGCCTAACAGGCAATGCAGCCACCTCTAGGGTGGAATCAGCTGCTGATATCACCATCCTGCAGCAACAGCATGCAGAAAGCAGAGAGGAGGAGGGCTGGGACAGAACATGGTGCCTAAGCACAGCTTAGGTGCAATAAAGGGATTGAAATGTGACTGTGCTGGAACAGGGCTGCCCGTGTGGGCTGTCTGAGGGCAAGAAGGAACTGCTTTGTGTCTGGGTAAGATGGTGCCTCTGGCAATAGCATAGTGCTCCGTAGCGCTGCCCTGGGGCAGAGGGGCCAGGGGAGAGCCCCCCATCTAAATGCACTTCCCATCTCCCCCTAACCCCACATTGGGACATTGCCAGCAGCTGGTTCCCCATTTAGTCTCTAGCAGAAATCAAGCCAGTACCTGTCTAGTTTGTGAAGTGGGATGCATCCATGTGCTGGGGAGGAGGGGGGAAGTGAATGTTAGTGGTGTTTGGTGATGTCATGGTGGCTGAATGGTGATATAACACTGCCCATCTGCCTGCTCCACCAGGTAGCATGCTGCTGTGCCTGTCCCCCTGCTGGCTCTCCAAGGTGCCGTCGTTATTGCGCCCTGGGGAGTCATCCCTGCTGGTCTCCAAAGCCATCTCCTTCGAGCAGGGTGGGCGCACATTCCTGGAAGAGTTCTCGCCCCCGCGCCGTGTCACCTACTTCACGGGCTCCTTCGGGCCCTGCAAAGAGCACGAGCAATCAGCAGGGGAGCTGGCCCGTGACCTGGACTGTCCCACGGGGGGCTCGGGGGAGCTGGCCCGCCTGCTGGAGGACAAGCTGCTGACACGCCAGCTGCTGGATGCACGGGCACAGGTCGGGGTGCCGCCCACACTGGCCTTCACCTTCCAGCGCCCACAGCTCCTGCAGGGCCTTGCTGCTCAGCGCTCCTTGCATGTGGTGGAGCTGAGCGGAAAGGAGGGCCAGGAGAACCTCGTCCAGGAGGAGGTCGGTGCCTTCCTACAGGGTGGCGCCATGGAGCCCTACAGTCAGGTGAGGGAGGGCTCCTAGTATGGGGAGGGGGCTTTTTGACTATGTCAGGGCAGGCAGTTGGCATAGGAGACCTTTCAACCAGGTTGGGGGGGCATGCAATAGAGGAC